GGAAGCACACTAGAGTCATCAGCATACATCACATGCAAGGCCGCTACAATGGCATCCATGTCCAAGTCAAAAATCCTAATGCTACGCCTAAGCAAGCTGTGCCAGTCCGGGAGGTCGGGCGCCGGGCCAAAGCGCTGGCGGAACAGGTCGTCCAGGCGACGAAAACAGCGAGGAGTAGAATGACCGATCTTACCGCAAACGAAGCCGCGGCGAGGACCGGTCTGGATCTGGTACTGACAGGGCCCGCCTCCAGAACCACCACCCGGTGCACCACCACACGCACGACCACCACCAGCTCCAGGCCACCCAGGTGGGAGAGTACTCGCCTGCCTCGTCTGCGGCGGCTGCTGCGGCTGCTGCGAAGGCTGCGGCTGCGGCGACTGCTGCTGCTGCGGCTGCTCCAACTGTGGAGGCAGCGGGGCAGCTGGACCGGGCAGGGTCCCCACGTCCGCACCGGCACCGGACGACCCGCCTCCACCACTACCCCCACCCGCACCCCCGCCGCCTCCGCCGCTCCCAACCTTGGGGCGGCGGCCCTTCGCCGAGCGGGACTGCACTGCAGCAGCAGTCTCAGCCACAGCGACAGAGCCGTCGGAGAAGGTACACTGAGCGGGGGCACAACCCTGAAAGATAGGGACCGGTACTGTACCGCTCGCCAGGGCTATGGAGCGGTGACGAGTCTCTATGGCAGTCAGGGTGTCAACAAAGTCGGTGAGGGTGAGAGCAGCAGGGTGGATGCTAAGGAACTGGTCGCGGGCAGCGGCAAGGCGGTCAGGTAGGCGGGTGGCAAGGAGGTAGAGGGTAGAGGTTATGGGAGGCTGGTGGACTCTAAGCTGAGCATCAGTGCAGGCAGCGCGCCAGGCCTCATCTATCGAGCGCAGGTGGGCAGCGAGGTCAGAGACGGTGGGGAAAGACGCCAGGTCAGGAAAGAGCAGGGGAAGGATCAGGCGACCCACTGAGGCAGCAGGAGGGGTAGAATAGCGCTTGATGACAGCATCGAGGTAGGCCTGGGCGGTAGGAATGGTTCTAAAGCGAGGGCGCTCAGTGGGGGGGAGGGCATTGCTAATGGCGAGCTGAGCAAGGGCATCGCGGGAAAGCCAGACAGAGCGGGCAAGGGCAGCAGCGGCAGTGGACTCGCGCTCAGCGGGCGTGGGATCAGCGGGCAGCACAGCAGGGGGGTCAGGGCAGGGGAGCATACCGTCTAGGTGTGCAGAAAGCGGGTGGCCGTCCTGCCGCTGGCCAGTGAGGTGGCGGCGAAGGTCAGCCAACCACGCCTCGAACTCCAGAGGCTGACCCTCAACATCAAAACGAAGCTCAGCAGCCATGAGGGGCAGTGGAGGACAGTGCAGTGCGGTGCAGTGCGATGCAGTGCGGTGCAGTGCGGTCCAGTGCGGTGCAGTGCGATGCAGTGCGGTGCAGTGCGGTCCAGTGCGGTGCAGTGCGGTCAGTGCTATCCAGTGAGGTGCAATGCGATGCAAGGCGGGGCAGGAAAGTGCAGGAGGGTGCAAAGTGGTGCGGGGAACGGGGGACAGTACCAGGAAGAATGGAGGGCCGGGGCAGGTGCGTCGGGGCCGGGCAGGCACGACAAGGCCGGGCGGCGGCGACGGGGCCGGGCGGCAGCGACAAGGCCGGGCGGCTGCGGCGGGGCCGGGCGGCTGCGACGGGGCCGGGTGGCTGCGACGGGGCCGGGCGGCAGGGACGAGGCCGGGCCGGACACAACAGGGCCGGGCAGGGGCGACGGGGCCGGGCGGTTGCGACGTGGCCGGGCGGCTGCGACGTGGCCGGGCGGCTGCGACGGGGCCGGGCGGCTGCGACGGGGCCGGGCGGCGGCGACGGGGCCGGGCGGCAGGGACGGGGCCCGGGCACGCCACAGCAGGGCCGGGCAGGGGCGACGGGGCCGGGCGGGCGAGCAGGGGCCGGGCAGGTGCGACAGGGGCCGGGCGGGCGCCACGCGGCCGATAGGCCGCGACGGGGCCGAGCAGGGGCGACGGGGCCGAGCAGGGGCGACGGGGATGGGTAGGGGCGCGACGGGGCCTGGAGGGGCGTTACCAAGCCCAGGTAGGGGCGCGACGGGGCCTGGGGGGAGCGCAATGGGGCCCAGGAGGGGCGCTACGGGGCCTGGGAGGAGCGCGACTGGGCTAGGGAGGGGCGCGACGGGGCCTGGAAGGAGCGCAATGGGGCCCAGGAGGGGCGCTACGGGGCCTGGGAGGAGCGCGACGGGGCCCTGGAGGGGCGCTACCAGGCCCTGGAAGGGGCGCGACGGGGCCTGGAGGGGCGCTACGAAGCCCTGAAAGGGGCGCGACGGGGCCTGGAGGGGCGCTACGAAGCCCTGGAAGGGGCGCGACGGGGCCTGGGAGGAGCGCAATGGGGCCCAGGAGGGGCGCTACGGGGCCTGGGAGGAGCGCGACGGGGCCCTGGAGGGGCGCTACCAGGCCCTGGAAGGGGCGCGACGGGGCCTGGAGGGGCGCTACGAAGCCCTGAAAGGGGCGCGACGGGGCCTGGAGGAGCGCAATGGGGCCCAGGAGGGGCGCTACGAGGCCTGGGAGGAGCGCGACGGGGCCCAGAAAGGGGCGCAACGGGGCCCAGGAAGGGGCGCGACGGGGCTAGGGAGGGTCGCGACGGGGCTAGGGAGGGTCGCGACGGGGCTAGGAGCACGACGGGGCCCAGCTAGGGGGCGAGCGGAAGCGTGAGGGGGGGGGGGGGGGGGGGGGGGGGGGGGGGGGGGGGGGGGGGGGGGGGGATCCTACCTACGCGTGATACCATAACAAACAGTGAAATTAATAAATAGAGAGAGAGAGTACACAAACATATACCTAACTGTTGTACTCTCTAGAAGATGACCCTATACAGTCTATACAAGCATGATAACTAAACATGTTTGACAAACACAAGGTACGTTTCGCTTTAATGGTCACCACATGGAACAGTCCAAAGCCCGAGCCCTCAAATCTTAAGCCTTGAATCCAGCACCTTATGTAATCACTCACCCCCTCCTTATTGACTCCAATGAGGGCGTGCTCTGGCATCAAGCTCCTAGGGTTCTTCGTGCACTTCACTTCGTAGTACACTGCACAATCGTGTCGCAAGAGCTCCATGATGCCAAGAGCCTGGCCACCCTTTCGGCTGAAGTCAAGTAAGAGAAACAATGCAGAGCGGGTTCGCGTTTGCGGAGTGGGAGATTGTTAAGGGAAGGAGGAGAGCACGGGACTGAATGAAAGTGAAAGGGAAAATCCCACCTGCAGAAGATTCGCTGGTTAGAAAATCCACCTCTAAAAAGGTTCACTGAAGCAGAAAAGCTTCACCTGATTTAGAGTAGCGTAGAGCTGATACCACTGCTCGTCGTTTGTAGAGGTAGCGCACAGAATGCAACACTCCTGGCGGCACGAATCAAGAAAGCACTGTGAGTCAATGAGCTGGAGAGCTGCGCAGAGCTTTGCAAAAGACAAATTTACCCTACCGTGCTGGAAGACATGCTCGTTGAAACGACCACGCACGAAGCAACCACGTTATAGAAAACCTTCAGTCAGTGTATAGCTGCGTTCGCAGGTGCTGAATAGTCTCAGTCGAGATTCGTCACAATGTAGAACGCTTCCTCCAGATACGTCTACTAGTATGATTCACTGGCTGACATTCAAGAAGCTGTATGTCTTTGGATTCATTAGTTGTCAATTAGGAAGCTATGCAATGTCTTGGAATGCGATAGCAGTGACATTCCGGAAGGAATGACTTCAGGAAGGCGTAATGTCTCAAGTTCAGTAGCTGTCATTCAGGAAGCGGTGGGGTCTTAGGATTCAATAGCTGACAGTCAGAGAGCGGTGAGATCTTGGTTCGGGGAACTTAGAAAACGACGACGGGAGAAGTAGAATCCTAAGCTTACCTTTAAGTAAAATCCGAATTTCAGGCAGTAAGGTCTCAACATTCAGGAAACGGAGTAGCCTGGAAGTACCATACGCGTTAAAGCTGACGACGTGCCACTGATGTTATGCGAGTTCAGTAGCTGAAGCGATAATACGGATTGTGAAGGCATCATGACAACGCCACAATGGCTCATACTACTAGCACCTACTAACTGCACACTACATGTCAGCACGGCCCGAGGTTCAGGTTGAAGTGCGATCGTGAACCTGAGGCCTTTTGGGTAGGATGGGCTTGGTTGTGAAGTCTCCTTTCAGGAACGATGAACTGAGGATGTATAGGTACGCTCGGGCGCGATGGCAGGGGCAAAAGGGGGCGCGGCTCGGTTCGGGCGGGCAGGAAAAACTGAAACCCTGGGCTGCCCGGCAAGCGGGGGGGATGTCATCAACCCTAATATCGCGGATGCCTCCGCGAGATTAGGGTTGATGCCATCCCCGAGCGCATGCGGGCCCGAATGGGTTCTGGCCTGCCCGAAGGGCAAGCGTGGAGGCCACCTCCACGCCGGACCTCCATGCCAGGGGCAATCGACCTCCACACCTCGATCCTGCGGACCTATACTAGTCGGTATTAGGTAATGGCTGGGGTGTCAGGAGCGATGACTCATGCAGCCTCTTCTAGCAGGAATTCCTGGAATCAGCGGGGGAATGTGAAGCTCACGTTGCAATATCAAGGTCACGGAGATGACGAGCTACAAATGATGTAGCAAGGTCACGGACCTTGATATTGTATCAAGGTCTCCGTGACCTTGATATTGCAACACAGTGCCGTAAGCTTGACGCGGCAATGTCAAGGTCAGAGAAGAGACGCTCACCGAACAGTAACCGTGGTAGCTTCAGCATCTGGACCGCTTTGTACCTTACCGAACCGTTCCCTAACGATTTTCCAACCCGTCTGGCAAAAAGTTCTGCATATTTTCGAACCTGTTCTCTATGTTCATCTTCCATCTCTACAAACATGTCTTCTACGTGTGTTGTAACCTATGCTTGGTATGAATTTCTATCACACAATCTGATCTGAACGGTATTCCGTCCTACAGCCACCAGTTACCGATATTTCGTCCTACAGCCACCAGTTACCAGTGGTATGTTCCAGCGTGAACTTCATTCCAAAACCGCATGGACCACAAAAAAATGATGTACTTCGAACTCGAACAGGCACCTAAGGCACACCACGCCACAGTCCATCACATTAGGTACCTACTGCCCTTGGACAAACAACAAAGCTCATTACAGAGCGAAAATCAGTTCATCAGCGTTGGATCCACTCATTGGCACGAAGAGTTGTCTGATCCAGATCGATACGAATTGACACAGCCTGCAGATAAGCGCAATATGTAGTCACATGAGATGTCTGACTGATGCAAGCACATTGCAGATGCTAACTGTCACAAGTAGCATTCTCACCTTGCCTGTGCGAGGCCTCTCCTTGGTGGCAGCCAGGCCTGCCCTGACCAGCCCCACAGCTCCCCAACACCTCAAGTTCTCCGCCACTCTGTCTAGACGATACAAATACTCCTCCTTTGTCAAGGGGAAAGATTTCTGGTAAAGGGAAAGGTGGCACAGGGGAAAGGCAAAGGAAAGGGCAGGACTTCTGAAATGTAAAATTAAAGTACGATAAGCGTGGAGAGGAGGGGAGGGGGGAAGGGGGGAAGAGGAGGAAGGCTATCAAAGCAAGCCATTGATGAGTAGGGAAAAACAACAAATGGAAGGAGGAGACGTAAGGAGAGGTTGCTAAAAATATGCATGCAATACTTTATCCACCAACCAACAGCGGCACCAACGCACCTGCTCGCGATACTTCCACATGACGTTCATGGCAAGCAACTGACGGCCCAGAAACTCCTGCCAGATGAACCGAGGGTAGGAAGTGGATGGAGACATGCGGAGATACCCTGTTTGTGCGACGCTCAAAGCGTTTAGACATCGCTCGGAAGGATACACAATCGGAATTGTCCAATCCAGCACGAATTCGACCGCAAACGCCTAATCTGCAAAAAAGCCTTGAAATCTTCGCCGTCACCTTTCGGATAAGCTGCACGTCATACGAGCGCGCGTACTTCTGGTAGATCAGCGCCGCCAGCTGCTTGCCGTCGAAGCTGTCGTCGTCTCGGCTCACCAGGCCCTCCATGCGCTGCCGAAACTCATCCGAGTCCGACCCGGAACCCTGGAGAACAAAGCATGCACGAGATTAGTAAGACAAGGCACGGGGTGTTTCTGGAGATACTTTGAGCTCTCTGTGACTGCTCAGAAACGACTTACCTCACCACGCCCAAATTGATCCTCCCCGTCGTTGCGGCTTCCTTCGCCAGCCTTCGCCTGGCATTGCAGCCTTCGTGAAGAAGATCGCGACACCCTGTTGAAAGAATGCACTCGAAGATGCCTACTTATCAAGATCGAGGATTGTCGTGGAATCACCAGCCGACGAGGTATTTGAGAAACGCAACACGGACCGTCTGATCTTAAAAAACTTATGCTAAACGAGCCTGGCGAGGCAGATACTGTCGCACTTCCCCCCGAATTTGTGCAATATACAGGCTCCACAAGAAGGGAGCTGACAAGGGAAGCTGCGGTAGAGCATGTGACGCTCCCCATAGCGGAAAGAGACGAAAGAACACACTCGCGATGTTCAAAAAGACTACTACGACTGAGTGAGCTCCCACGTTTTCGGCGCCGTAAGAAATACAAGTCGTCCAATAATAGCGCTCTGGTCTCACTCAGCCGAGTCGGTCTATGGTCTCTGTCAGTAGGCGCCGTCAGTCCCGCTCACACTAAGCTAAGCCTGAGCTGGGTGTATGCATGCTTTGCACAGCAGCATAGCCTGCGTGTGTGAATACTTGTGGTTCCGCCTCTTTTCACGCCTTTCACTCGCAGTGAGTCGTGGTATGGTGGAGCTCATGCACAGTATGCCCGTGTTATGCCTGCGTGTTCCACACCAGACTCCAGTGCTGCGCTCTTTTCTCCTTCCCTCCCTCGTCGCTGCACTTCCGCCCTATGCTGTATCACACCCTCCAGATTCATCAGTCACCGAGTCCCCACGAGATTGCATGCCTTCTCCCACACCTGCGCGAGAGTGTGACTGCATCGGGGCTGCAGCTAAACGAACGGCTCCCGTATTGGCGACGTCAGGCCTGCAACAGCTGTAGTGGAACCACGTGCTGCCGCGTGGATGGATAGACACGTGGAGGTCAAAGAGCTGGTTCAACGCTCGCTCGGTGCGCAATCTTGTATTAGAAACCCTGCTTTTCGTTTCTGTTGTTCCTTTCAGAACAAGGCTGCATGGAAAACCATCAATGCAACTCACCACACAGGTTGAAACAAAAACTGTATTTACCTTGGGGGGAATAGTTCGGGACAGGACAGGACAGCCCTTTAAAGAAGGCTTCTTACGAGTTTTTCTCGGACTGGTTCCAATAATTTGGATTAGAACCGGGATCAATATGGTCTTTTGGAACAAATGTTTTCGAGGAAAATATTTCTGCCTTCCAAAATAAAATCCTCATCTTACACAAACCGTAAGCAGTTAAATATTTCGCTGCTACTGATCAATGGTCTTGTCTATAGCGAGTTATTTCCGGAGGAGCTCCACTCCTGGATATTCCCGAAGTGCGCTATGCAGTTTATGATTGGCCAACGAGGAATATGTTCAAGGGGTGGTTCAGCTGAATTATGCTTCGACTCAGTTTATGAATGTACGACAACAGTGAATACTTCTTTGCAAGCATATTCGACAGTCTGACTATCCCTTTGGGGTGTGGGTTTCAGGGCCCGCCACGTGTGATATTCGCATCCCTGATCCTCATCGAGCTCCCACCCACCACACCCTCGAGCTTTTGGTTCCCCCCACGGCCAACCGCAGTGCTGCCCTTGAAATTGCCATTTTCAGACCCTGCGTATCGTGACGAGTCCTCAGTGAGGTATGGTTGCGTATTCATCAGTCAGCTCAGAGGCTTGGTGCTTCAGGGCGATTCTGCCTCGCTGATCGACGTAGTAGTCGAGCAGCGTGTCAATAGGGAGCTTCTCCTTTCGTGCTGAAGCCATGGATTTCTCCAAGGCAGCAGGAGTCGCTGCTATCCTCATTCTTCCTAGTACTAGGAAGGATGTGGAAGACGCACCCTCGGAGATTCAGTCATGGAAAGGCTTTGAACCTGTGCGCGTACACAGAGAGAGCCTTCTTCACGATGACTCACGAAATCTGCGTGAAGACGCCGGCTATGCTCCTCCTCGACTCCTGTCCCCACTGATTGATGCGCTGTGCTGGGCTCAGGAGCATTGTCAGCTAATGCTGACAGGAGATTCACAACTATCCGTCGAGTTTTCGTTCATCGTGGCCATTTCAAGCCTTCTATACCTCGCTGTATCGTTCGCCTTCTGGCAGCAAGATTGTCTCCTTCTTGCGGCGATGTTTCTGTTAGTCACGATCACCAGCCTTTTCTCTGACAGCCTCTGCACATGGTCCCGGTTCTGGTGCTGTACGGACCGTATTGTGGCTACCGCTTGTGGTAAGTATGGTAGCAGTAGTCAAGTTCAATGATTTTTTTCTCGGATGGCAAGATCTCTAAGTGATTCCCTCTGCCTTTGCAGCTCTATGGTGTCCTGGACGGGCAATCGCGTTTTATGCGGAGAGCTGCTTCCATGCGCTTCAGATTACATCCCTATCATTTTTCTCCATATCATTTTTGGCATGGAGCAGGAAATCCACTACGCAGAGTGAATTTATCTTACGGCACACATGTTGGCATCTTGTCAGCTCCGCAAGCCTAGTTTGGCTGGCATATAACGTAAAATTTTAGTGTCCATATCGGCATTTTCAAACTGTGAAATCCCGACGAAGGTTTGACTTTGATATTTTTCATTTCTGCTATGAATAAATTCACGTCAATAGCAGTCCTCATTTTACAGTTCATTTTCTCAATCATTGATACAGCGCTTGGATGGAAAGACATGGTCACAGATGAAAATGCAAGCGCACATCAGAGATTGTGAATCAACCTAGCGGCGTCGAAGCAGTGGATGGCAGCTAGGCGTACACGAGAAGGCGGAGGAGGGTGTGTGTGAGCATCCCTAAAACCATCTATGTCCTTTTCCAGCTCCAGCAGACATCTTTCTACCATGGCCTCGCTGGGACGCCACTCCGACTGTGCCTCCATGCCCTGGTGACCACAAGGGCAGGAAAACATGTTCAAGAATTGCGAATTAAGATGGTGGTCTGGCACGTCTGGATACGTGATACAATGGACGCAAAGCTTACATGCACAGGATGCCCCAGCATGGCCAAGAGCCCCACGTGAACGCGATCCACCACCATCGTCCCTGCGGCTGCCAAGCTGTCGCCGGTGATGCCCACATCGCCGCTGCTGGCTCGCTCAAGCACGGATCCATATGTCCGAAGGAATGAGACCATGGCGTAGTTCGTCGGGACAACGGGAGTCGGCTCGGTATCAATCGGATCCGTGGCCCCTGGTCGCTCGGATGCTGAACGAACGGGACTCGCCACGGCTCCTGCAAGGGCACAAAGAAATAGGGGTTAGCGCTTTCAACTCAAGAGGGCGTCACCATCTCCCTCTCCCCTCGGGCAGTCTTGCTTTCACGCTCGCCAAGAAACATCGACCTGTTCGGGAACTTACGTAGCAATGTGGCAGGTCGCGAGGTTGGTCCAGCAGCGGATGACGTGGAATTCAAGGCAGGAAAAGGCTTGAAGCAAGTGGCAAAAGGCAGCGGAGATAGTCGACTCCTCTGCTCTGGCCCTTGTTGTAATGGCATTGCTTGAAGGGCATCAGCGATGGATCCCGCGATCGTGCACCGGAGAGAGACGACGGGAGAAGCCATTGTGTGGGACTTCAAAACGGAAAATGAGAGTATTCAAGACTGAGCTAATCACAGTTCAATCACGGATCGAGAATGACTGTTCAAGCAGCGACAACAAGGGCTGTGATCCAAGCAGCGCTAGCCCAGCCTGGCTACTAAACAGCCTTTCTCAAACAGTTGACCTGTGACAGACTTGTGGAAGACACAACACGCCTTTTTCTTGTCTCGCCACTAGCCTTTTTCCCCAGCACTCAAACAGTCAGGGTCTGCTAGGGTGTCCTAGGCATACGTCCAAGTACGGTTGAGTGAGGTGATGCGTGTCTCAGAAGGATCCAATTTGGTTGTTAAACGGTTCGGTAGGGTATTGCCCGAAAATGAACGCCTAGGACAGGCTCTCAGTCAGCGCACGTCACAGCAGCCGCAATCACCAACCCAACTCGCCCGACCATCCACCAGACAGTCCCCCGTGCGGGCTGTTTCCGCAACAGTCTCGGGCGCAATCACCGGACAAACTTCCGCATTTTGCAGGACGGATGTACAGCACATGCTGGCGCAATCACCCTATATATGCTGTTTCCCCAACAGTCTCGGGCGCAATCACCCTATACATGCCCCTCCACTCCGCCCCTCCGCACCCACATCCGATGAAGCAACTCGTTTCGCGGTCCCAAGCTTTTTGGACAACGTGTCGAGATATGTGGATGGAAATCGTGTAGCGAATCCAGGGGACCTCTTCGAAGCACAAGGCGGCATGGTCTGTTCGAGCATTGTGTGGCTGGCGGGACCCCTCCCGCACACGAATGATGTGTTTGCAAAGCAATTGGTTACCAGCGCGCAGCGACGACAGGAACCCATTAGGAACCGCGACAATGCGTGTGAGGAAATCAACGTTGCGCATGGAGTCTGGACTGGTAGATAATCAGGTATACGATAATGGTACACTCATGTTTCCTTCGTTACCAAGTGTGGTCATTGGATAATGGATTTGGTCTATCCTATTATTTTCAATGCAACCTTCTTCGACCCTTTAATTTAACCAATAAAACAACACAATTTCAAAATAAATCTCAGATATCCAACCCATTAAATTAACCTTTCCATGCGTGTCTAGCCATTGATGCATCAATCCATGGATATGGCTTGCAAAAGTCTGACCTCATCTCAGTAATATGACAGTTGTTGGGCTGAGAAAAAGCCCTTAAGATCTTTCAGAGACTAAGTCCCAGTTGTACAAGGATGCTTGAGTAGTGCAGCGGAAGTTGAGTAGTTGAACCCTTGCACTAGTATGTGAGAGCAAGTGATTGACTAAAGAAAACAAGCATACAGCAATATATATAAAATAGGAAAGCAAAGCAGTTGTAGAATACAGTTGAAGAAACGGTTATCGAGTCGCACAACGACTCGATGGTCGATTCGGTTACCACCCTTGCAGTTGTAACAGTCAGTCGCAACCTCCGCTTGCGACCCTTCGAGTCTCTCGTCCTTTCGTGTTCTTTCGTCCAACCTCCTCGTGTAACCTCCGTTGACTCGCATACTCGATACGGTTTCACTCGAGTGTGGTGTTACACTTCATAAATGTTGAAGTCCTTGAGGTATTTCCAACACTCCCCTTCGTTTCTGGAGTGCTGACGTGTCCATATTAGGTGACGTTTATTTGCCCGGTCAGCAGCATGCAATAATCGAACTTTGCCTTCGCTAGTTTCTTCGTTAGGTAGTCTGCGGCCATTTCTGTCGTGGGGCAGTAACTGAATTGAAGTCTCCCTTTCGCGATTTCATCTTTGACAAAGAAGTATCGCAGGGCGATATGCTTGGTTCGATTAGCGAACCCGTCCTTGTTCGCGACTTTAATCGCGGATTGGTTGTCGCAGAATATCGAGAAGACGTGCAGTTTTGCGATTTTCGCTTCCTCGAGTAACTCTCGCAGGTAAAGTCCTTCTTTGGTCGCAGTGCAGAGGGCGATGTATTCTGCTTCAGCCGAAGATAGCGCGATTAGTTCTTGTTTGCTCGACTGCCAGGAGATAGTCCCGATAGGCTCTAGTCGGTAGATGTAGCCCGTCCTTGAGCGTCGATTTTCCCTGTGTCCTGCGTGGTCGGCGTTGACCTATCCGAGTAGTTGTACGGACGATGTCGTTGTTTTACTGTAGGTAAGTCCAGTCGTCGGCGTAGAGACGAAGTAGAGCAGTGCTCGATTTAGCTCCTCGAGATCCTCTTGTTCCGGCTGCTTCAGATGTGTCGCTAGTTGGCTCGCGCTGTAAGATAGGTCCGGTTGGCAAGTTACTGCTGCGAATAGTAGGCAGCCGAGCTTCTGCTGATACTCCTGGATTTGCTTCGCGTGTAGTTTTGCGGAGGTGTCGTTGTTGCTCCCGTAGCGGTAGGGAGTTTTGACTGCAGTCGGTGTTAGTCCAAATTTCTTTGCGACAACGCCTGCGTATTTTCCAGCATGTAGGTAGAACGCCGAGTCGTCTTCGATGACGTTCAGGCCTAGATACTGGCTCACGGTGTTTGACACCGTAAGCGTTAAGTCGCTCTTCAGCTGCCCTTCGAATCAGGTGACGACGTCGGTAGTGGAGCCCACGTAGAGTAGATCATTGACGTAGACGATGAGTAGGACGAAGTCCCCCCCCTTTTGTAGTCGGTACATTCCTTGGTCGTGCGGCAGTTGCAGGAAGCCGATTCTGACGAGGCGGCCGTGAAGGTGCTGCTACCAGAGCCGTGGGGCTTGTTTGATTCCGTAAAGGGATTTTACCAGCTGACATATTTTTGTGGGATCGTCGATGAATCCATGGGGCTGCTCGACGAAGATTTCGGCGTCCACAGGTGCGTACAGGAAGGCGTTGGCGACATCGATGTGGCGTAATGGTAAGTTTTTCGTGGCCGCGACGGCGAGCAAGATGCGTAGGGAGGAGTGTCGGGAGACTGGGGCGAATGTCTCCGTGTAGTCGGTTCCATATCGCTGGTCGAATCCTCGTACGACCCAGCGAGCCTTGAAGCGGTCGATGGAGCCATCCACATTGGTCTTGACGCGGTACACCCATTTCCCCGAGAGTATGTTCTTCCCGTTGATGTTTGTTGCAGGTACCAGCTTCCACGTGTTTCGGTCTTGCAAAGCTTTCAGTTCTTTTTCCATTGCCTCCCTCCATTTTGCCTTATGTTCCCCCTCTAGAGCGTGCGACAGAGTCGTTGGCTCGCGCGGAGACGGCGGTGGCGGGTGCTGGACGGAGACCCATAATCCAAGTATCTGCAGGCCCGTGGGTGAGTGTCCAGGGGAATTTTCATTCCCGGGATAAGCTGCTTTGTCGCCATCTTCGGGATCAGGTAGGAAATTTGGTCCGATGCATTCTGAGACATTCGTGTCGGCTGGTTGAGGTGTAGTGTAACCTTGGTCAGCGAAGTGGTAATAGGTGTCGAGGTTGTTACTATCGAGAGGATTGTCGTCGTTGAGGGGAACAGGCACGGAGCAGTAAGGGAGTGGTCCGGCAGTTTCCGAGGCTTCAGGTACGTCTCCTTCTGCTGCGTCAGCTTCGGCAGCACGATCGGCGAAGGAGCGAAGGCCCGCGAAGCCGTCGGTGGGGTCGTCTGTGTTGGCGACGTTATCCATGTAATGCTGCAGCGTCAGTCGCTCGTAGAAAATCACATCACGTGATGCTACGGCATTTTTGTCTTGAATGTCGAGGATTTTCCATGCTTGGAAATATTTTGCGATGCCGAGGTGTAGTCCCGACCGTGCTCGTTGAGTGAAGCGTCGTGCTCGAGCCGTGTGGGGTCTGTACTGTACCATGCAGTCGAAGACTCGAAGTAATTTTGTGCTGCCCCTTTTTCGTGTCCACAGCAGGTGCGTTGTTGGGAAGTGATGACGAGGACAGCAAATTGTGCAGGTGGACTGCATGCGTCATCGCGTCTGGCCAGAGTGTGTTGGGCAGTCTCATCCCCAGGAGCAGCTTTCGCATCATCGTCTGCAAGGTCCGGTTCATCCACTCTTCGACCCCCTTGCTGTTGGTGAGCGTAGGGCAATGACACCAGGCGTCTGATGCCTCTTTCTCCCAAGTAGGTCCTGAATCGTTGTGACTGGTATTCCAGTGCTCCGTCCGACTTGAAGCTTTTGAGTTTCGAGCCCGATTCTCGTTCAGCGATGGGCAGCCATGTCGTGAAGGCTTCGAATGCTTGATCTCGTGTCTTGAGGTTGTAGTGCCAGAAGTATCGTGTTGCTGCATCGATGAAAGTTATAACGTAGTTGTATTCTGCTTCACTGTTGTCTCGAGGCATATTTAATATGCCGCTGTAGACTTTTTCCATCGGTTCGTATGCAGGTGCGCTTGGATTGTGGTGTGACGTAAAAGGTTGGTGGGGAAGGTCGGCTTTGGGGCACGTGAAGCATCGTGCGCGTGGTCGGTGAAGTTCTTGGCCGCTCGTTGTAAGAAGGGAATTTCTTTCTAACACTTCGGCTTGGATGGTTTGTAGCACTGTGCTGTTTGCAGGATGCCCGAGGCGTTGATGCCAGATGTCGTCGGGAGCGCGGTGGCCGGGTGAGCGTTGGTACATGTCAGTGTTGGAGAAGAACGCGACGACCGTGGCGGTACTTCGGCAGACTTCTCGGGTGGTGGGCATAAGTTGATCTGCTTCAGTTGGCGGTCCTCGGATTGGTGGTGATGGTACACGGCTGGGTCCTGCTGCTGCTACTGCAGGTGATGTCGATGAAGGAACGCTTGCTGGCACTTGTCTTTCTTGTCGAATGACTGCTAACACTCGTGTTCTTTCTGCTGCAGGTATGGTGTTGGAGTACCAGAATCCATCTGGGGTGAAGTCGGGGTCAAGATCCGGTGGGTGCATCCATGCGGCGAACGACACGATCCCATGGCTGTCGCCAATACCGCGGTCGGGGACGAAATCCAACACGAAGACACCTGACTTCAGAAGAGCGCGAACGATGAAGAGGCTGCCCTTCTCGTTGTAAAGATGAAATTCGTTGGCGTCCGAGTCGCATTCCAGGTGAATCCCCTTTTCCATTAGCTGGCTGACGCTTAGCAGATTGTACCCCAAGTTGTCGACGATTAGAACCTTGTTGAGTTGCATGATAACATTTGTCTCCATGGACTGCAACTGAACCACTCCTTGTCTGTTTGTTTTCAGGTTTTCGTTGTTGAGTCGTCGCTCTCGTTTCACGAAGCGTCCGGAAGAACACATGTGTTGGCCGCA